AACCCGCTGCTACTCGACGAGTCAGGCAACCAACTCGTCGAGTAGACCTTGAATCCATGAGAATTTATCATCATAAATTGATATTCGAGAACCGGCGTTACAGTTCTTACCTATAATTATTAATAATTTATGAAATAATGGTGAAGATTCTTTTTTTTAACAAATCATAAAACTATTTTTATACGGTTTATTAATTGTTTTGAAAATTTATTCGAGTGCTTTCTTTTCTTTTTAACGTTTTGTTTAAATAAAAAATTGTAATGTTTTTTGACGTTTTATTTGTTTATATTTTTTTTAACGTTTTGTTCGAATATTTTTTATTTTAAATTTTTTTAACAGTTTGTTTGAATACATTTTTTTTAATGTTTTTTGGTCTATATATTCATGACAACTGTAATCTTAATTCGTAATATAATTCAACTTAGCGACGTGAAGTTTATTTTTTTTTTTTTTTTTTTTTTGATTTTTTTTAAACTTTTCCTTCAAATAAAAGTTTTAATGGTTTTTGACGTTTTATTATTTTACAATGTTTTGTTCAAATACATTTTTTAGTTCTTTGTTTGAATAGTTCTTTTAAAGTTTTGGTTGTCTATATATTCATGACTACTTGTGTTCGTAATTCGTGATCGTAATTCTTGAATAAACATAAATTTAAATTATTTAACTTTAAAAAAAATTCCAACAAATCTTAAATTTAGATATTGTTTTTAAAAGAATTAATTTTGTCATCCAAAAAGGAGTTACGGCACAACTTGTTGCTCGTTTATCCGCTACGTCTATGTAAAACTTTCTTTTTTAATTAATTTATAAGTGTTTATTTAACGTTGAACGAAAATCTCAACCAATCGTAGACATATTCTGTTTCATTTTTCTTTTTAATAACCTTTTCAAGCTTTTAAGTATTTATTATTAAAATCATATTTTTAAACAATGGTGGCAAAATTTTGTAAACTAAAACAGGGTTATTGTGCAATATTTTAAAATTAAAACTTTTAACATTTTAAGGAGTTATTGATATATTTTTCTTTTTATTATCATGAATATTTTGACCGCTAACTCCTTTTAGTGTTTTGCCAAAAGAACTTTAACTTTTAATCCATATATGCTTAATTATCAATTTAGACCAACAACTGAAATTAATATTTTTTAATAAATAAAAAACTAGATATTAATACTAAACATAAAAATTAATTGTCCATATCATCTAAAAGATTAAAAATAGAAAAGGATATTTAGTTCAAACACATTAAAAAAAAAAAAAAAAAAACATAATCACATTAATAAACTAAAGATTTTATACTAAATGGTTAAATTGAAATTCACGAGTTTCATCGGTTTTGGTCTTGTATTATTACAAAGTAAAAACGATATCTCGATTGGAGATAAAGTTTGTTGGTGGTCACATGCTAGCACTAAAGAATACGACAGAAATAATAAATTATACACACACTTGCATCGGTTTGCTTATATAAACGCAACGACCATAGATAGATCAGTATTCATAAGATCTAATGATCTATCGAGTTCATGAGCTTCCCCTCTAATGGCTTCCTCAATCGATTCTGCATCAAAACTTTTCAGATGTACGTAGATAACTATCTTGGCTTATTCATTACACTCATTTTCATCACATCTATTGTTTCTGTGAGCTTTTTTTCATTTTTGAATTCCAATTAACTCACAATTACCACGTAATGATGCAGGGTTTGTTTCTATAAAGCTTTCGATTGAAACCAATTATGACTGGTGGCCGGAAATGATGACGTGTGATGGAGAGAGCCATGTTATGCAGGGTTTCCTCCATGACATATTTAAAACCTCCAAGGAGAATGGTGATTCTAAAGATAAGGTAGACCGGTCTACCGTGGAGCTGAAGCTCTAAGCATAATGAATCTATCTTCCACTTCAAGAGCTTCTTTCAGCCACAATAAAACCGGGAGTTGTTGATTTTCTTGCATTCAGTGGAGTTTGCAAGTCATTCAGCAAAGTTTGCAAGTCACTCAGCGGAGTTTGCAAGTCAAATATCTAGATTTGCTAGCTGGGTTTGTAAACTATACTATTTAACAACGGAGTTTGCAAGTCATAAATGTTATTTGAAATTTTTAATAAATTATATAGAGATTAATTAATATAGTTGGTTTGTTATTTATTTTTGGCTTGAATATGAGGTGTACATTGTTTTTCAAAATCATGAGGTCAGTGGTCCTTTTATAGTGCTGAATTTTGGTTGGATTTTTTTATTTTTATTTTTGTCTTTAGTTTTGATTCCACATCTTATTTCTTGGGGATTAAATTGTTTTTGAGCTACTGATCTGACATGGTTTTTACCATAATGCCATGGTTGGACGAATTTACCCCTGGAGATAATGGATATAGTCGAGTGGTTTTTATAATTAAGAGGCTCATAGTGTATCGTCTCTGTTCCATTTGGATGGTTTTTACTTATCTGGTGTAGTTCTTGAGTCTAATCCTTCCTCTGCTTTTCTTTTGGTGTTGCTGTTTATTTTGTCTTTGTTTTCTATACTTTTGTTCAGTTTCTTGCTAGCTCCTTTTCTTCTATTCTATAATATTGATATTGATTTGCTTGCCATTAAAAAAAACAACAAATACAAATATATGGATCTCCAAAATAAAAGACCCTCCTGTCATTCATATTAATGGTTACTCTTTGCTCATGAATTTGAGTATTTTGAAATTTGAGTTACATTACAGTCACATCTGTCTATGTAAACTTGATTTAATAATGTTTATTAAAAAATACTTAACAGGTAATAAATGTAAAATTTATCTAACATATTCTATTACGAAATTAAATAGACACTAGTAAAAAATAGACACTTCAAGAAAATGAGTGTATTAAGTAAAATATACCGATATCTGAATATCAACCTTAGAAATTTATAAGTTTACATCCACAAAAATACACACGGAATAAAATATATAACTTTCTCAATCTAAAATTACTTAACTCGGGTTTGCCTAAACCTTTTCAAACTCAATTTATTAAATCCCAAAAAAGCACCACCAAAAAATATAACAGCTCAATGAAAGAAAAGCTTCCATGAAAATAATTCGACTGAAGCCCTCAACTTTAGAGCAGTTTTTTTTTTTTTCTTTGGATGACATGGTTACTATTTTTTTTACCATTTGTAAGAACTAGACCACTAAAATAGTTTAGTCTTTGGGGTAGACGGATCCATTTTTTGGTGGTGGGTTACAGGCGGTATCATCGGTGATGATTCGGACCACGGCGAGACTGACACCGAAGATCAGGAGTGGTCCTCTCTCTCTCTCTCTATCTCCTTTGACCGCTGAAAACGGTAATAATTTTCAATTATTTTATAATCTTTTTACCGGTATAAATACAAACCTTTACCTTTTTAAAATCCACAGCTTTCTGCAATGTCGTTCCATCTTTCTTCTATTTCGTTCGTTTTCTCTATAATTTAATTATCATTTTATCCAATTCCTTTCTAAATGGATTTCCATGGAAAATCCAAACAAGACACTTCTAGCCAAAGATACAACCAGCAAAACAAACCGTTTATCAAGATTTTCCATTTTCCGTACCGAAAACCCAATCAAGCCAAACGCCACCTCCAAGTCAAATCAGGCGCACAAGAAAACTGTGTGATATGGTATATGATTCTCTTGAAAAAGTGAAAGCATAGGAGCTCGGGCCCCCCTCAGGTGGACTAACTGTTTCAGAAAAAGTTGATTTGTCGTGACGGGGTCTCTAAGGATGGGTGAAGTTTGGTTTTTATGATTTAGTTTTTTTTTTTTTTGAACGGTGGAATTTAATTAAACTAGCAAGAAGCTAGAACAAACAATTACATGGTAATAGAAGAGGGATTATGAAGCCAAGTAGACCATCCTAACTTAGCTTTTTTACATCTATTTGAAATCCAAAAGAAAGCCTTTTCAACTACGTCATCAAAGAGCAAAGCTTTTTTAGGAATAACCGTATCGAAAATGATGGCATTTCTAAAATTCCAAATGAACCAAAATGTTGTTATAACCACTGCATCAAAAATTTTACGTTGACTAGCCCTCAACGTCACTATATCGGACCAAGAGAGAAGAGAAGGAATAGTAATCTGATTCGGGAGATTTAGACCCCACCATATAGCAATACGTCTCCAAATATCCATTAAATCAGAACATCCAGCAAAAAGATGATGAATAGTCTCTACCGAATAGGAACATATAGGACACATGATCGTCTCTACCAGAATACCTCTAGATGAAAGTCTCTCCCTCGTAGGAATGCTCTGAAGCTTTACCCTCCATATAAGAATATTGAGTTTAATAGGAACCCAATTGTTCCATCTCGTAGTCATATCTGTTGAAGTAATCAACCCATTGTCGAGAAAGGAACGAGCTGAAGAAACTGAAAAAATATCAGAGATATCAAGAGACCATCCCAATCTATCTGGAACAGTTTGAAGCCGTACATCCTGCATTAGTCTGCAAAAGGTAGTCCATTGGGTCTCCTCGACACCACCTCTAGGAATTCGTCTGAAATGGCACATATCTCACCCAATATTTATCCGGTCTCTAACTGTAGTTGTACGGTGATTATCCAAAGCAAACAACCTGTGAAAAGAAGTAGCAAGAGGGAGATCTCCTAACCAAACATCATGCCAAAACAAAGTATACGCTCCATCCCCTATCCAGATATGACAAAGGGACTGAAAATCAAAGTCGTGATCCTGAAGATTAGATAACATACGAGTGATACCATTCCAAGGGCCTTTCCATGCGCTTCTCGGGATCAGTGGAGTAACATGACCACCCAAACCATACAAAACTTTCACTACCCTGACCCATAGTAAATCGGGATAATGAAAGAAACGCAAACGCCAACGTAAAAGGAGAGCCCTATTATAGGCAAAAAGACTACCCACTCCTAAACCCCCGTCATCTCTAGAAGCAAGAACACACTCCCAGCGAATCCAATGCATACGACGATCATTCAAATCCGCACCCCAAATAAAAGCGTCTCTAAGCTTCTCTAGGTTATGAAGAACTGTAATTGGGACAGGAAAGACAGACATCAAGTAACTGCCTAGAGATCCCAAGACAGATTTGATCAGAGTTAGCCACCCCCCAATAGAAAGACTTTTGGACTTCCAACCCGCGAATCTACTTTTAAAACGCTCAATAATAGGAGACCAAGCCACAAGTCTAGTCATATTTTGACCAACAGGGATTCCCAAATGAAAGAAAGAAAGAGAATCTGAAACACATCCCATACAATGAGCCATAGCAGAAACTTGATCAGCGCTAACTCCCACTCCATAAACCTTACTCTTGAGTAAATTAATTTTCAGACCCAAAGCCATGAAGAAACATCTAAGGATACGAACGATATGTTGCGCATTCGTCTGATCCCACAGAGTAAAAAGAACAGCATCATCAGCGTAAAAAAGGTGAGACATATTAATACCCCCAATGGAAATACCCCTATACATATCAGCCATATGTGCACGAATCAAAGCAACATGCAATCCGTCCATGGCCAAAGGAAAAAGAAAAGGATTAGTTGAAAGGAAATGAAATTCTAAAATATGCTATTTTTGTGAACAAGGTAAAGTTAAGTATAAATTTTAAATAAAAATTATGGTTGGTTTATTGGTTTACATCGTTGAGCATCTTTCTGACATTTGAAATCTGGGATGCATGGAAGGTATTGAAATGTTGTTTAGGTAGTGATTCCATTGAAGCTTCCTTGGTATGAAGTATGATCATGTGGAAAAAAAAGTGTGACGTGTTTTTGGTTAATAAAGTTTAAGTTTTTAGTTTACTTAGTTTTATTTTGGTTTTTATTCTAAGTCGTTTTTATATCATCTAAGTCTTTCCGTTTTGTTTATAATGTTTAATCTTCTTATTAATTGATGACAAATAAGGTTTAAGCTTTGGGAGACTCGTTAGATATCATTTTATGCATCTTTTATATTAGTTTTTATTAGTGTTTTCTTCCATATTTTATGCTTTTATTGTAACATCCCAAAATTTGAGGCCAAAAAAATGTTTTAAATTAAGTAAATCATCATTTAGGTTACCAAACATTGTCACTATTTCATCATTCATAAAATCATAAAATCATGTCTCGAGAACCATATCATCAGGAACAATGAAAATCAGAGTACAATCCCAGAAAATCCGATGCAGAAACCATGTGTGTGATGCGCTGCTACGCCGCCGGCTCTTTCCCCTTGGACGAAGAGGTACCTGAAACCAAAACTGAAACTGTAAGCACAAAGCTTAGTGAGTTCCCCCATCATACCACATACCACATAACACCATCGGTATCTTTCAACCGGTATCTGCCATCGGTATCTTTCAATCGGTAACCATCATCGGTATCTTTCAACCGGTACACGCCATCAGTATCTTTCAACCGGTAATTGGGGACTATTTCACCCCTAGCACTAGTATACCGTAACGAAAGGTAATCATACAGTCAGGCATAACTGGGTAGGGACAACTAATCCCTTCTACACACATAGCA